GCTCTCACGCCATTGGTCAGCGCCGCAGGGGGCGGGGCCTGCGCGTTCCCACCCCTCCCCCATTGAGAAACCGCGGCTGTTCCGGGCAGCGGCCGCGCCCCCCCCCGCGCCCAGACCCCCGGCTGTTCTTGGGGGGCTCTGGGGGGATTTGGGGTCCCTCCCTGGGGGTGCTGAAGCTGCTGGGACCCCCCTGAGTGTCCCCAGCACCCCCCGAGGGTGACACTCGTGTCCCACGGGCGCTGCTGATCCTGAGATCCCCCCCAAAAAAAATCTCCGGCACCCCCCTGGCTGCCCCGGGGGTCCCCAGGGGTGTCCCCCAATATCGCAGGGATGGGGGTTGGGGTCTTCCAGCCGCACACTCTGGATCTGCTGGGGGTGAGGATTGGGTTAACCCCCCCAAAATCGGGAGGTTCGGCGGGACCTAACCCAGGGCACCCCAAATCCTGGAGGGGATTGACCGGACCCTCCCCGGGACACCCCAAATCCGGCCGGACCCTCCCCGGGACACCCCAAACTCGGGGGGCTCTGCCAGACCCTGGACCCGGACCCCGTTTATTTTTGGGGGGGGTTTATGGGGTTCAGAGCCCTCCCCCGACCCCCAAAACAAAGCTGGGAGCAGCTGGGCTGAGACCCCCCCCCCCCGGTCTGGGACCCCTTTGGGGACAATTCTGGGGGGCTGAGACCCCTGGGGATCCCCTTTGCCCCCTCCCACCCTCAGGTGCAGCGGGGGACGTGGGGACACGAGGTGGGGGCTTAACCTTTAGTGCCCCCCAAAAAACGGGGACCCCTCCCCAAAAAACGGGGATTCTTCCCCAAAAAAGGAGACCCCTCCCCCTCAAAAAGCCCCCTCCCAAGCGCATCCTCACCCCAAATCCCCCGGGCTGGGGGGGGTCCCCGAATGTCTGGGAAGGGTCCCTGGGTGCTTTGAGGGGGTCCCCAAGTGCCCGTGGGGGGGTCCCTGGGTGTGGGGGGGGGGATTCCCGAGTATCAGTGGGGGGGTCCCCGTCTCTCGGGGGTCTCCCCGGGTTTTCGGGAGGGGTTCCTGGATATCCGGGGGGGGGG